GCCCGTGCAGGATCTATGCATAGCCGCTGTCTCGGCCGGCCCCTGCTCCCTCTGAGCAGCAGGTTGTTTGGAGGAGGACAGGGTCCCACCTGCCTTTGAACTTTTGGAGACGGTGCACAAAACAGCGTGGGCCAGGCCATTCTTGCCCCTTCACTACAGCATGCCGGGGGACAGCCCTGTCCTAGTGATGCCGGGGAGGTTCCCCGAGGGCCGGTGAGGTGACCTCTCTGGGTTAGGAGCCCCAGGGGGTTTGAGGGCAGTGGCCACCAGTCTCCCACGACATTCCCTTGTCCTGCCCTCTCTCCACAGGTTATGCCACTCTCCAGGTTTGCTGGGTGCCTGCCGGTGAAAGAGAAGGGTTGATATTTTGCCCAGGCCCTTAGGTCCTGAACCAAAATGGCAGCTGGAGAGTCCCCTCCCGTAGGAGATGTCTTCATCGACCTGCAGCAGGTGAGGTGGGAATCCAGCAGCAGCGGGGCTGTCTCTTCCCCTGGGATCGCGCTCCTGCCAGGCTGAGTGCGGGACCTGCGTCCTGGCAGCCTGCTGCAGTAGGAGACAGCCTCCGTTCCCTGGGGACAGGTCTGCACGAAGGGTGCCCCAAGGCTGCCCATCAGCCCACATCCACTCTCCAAGCAGACAGCAAACTGTGGTCCAGAGAAGGCCAGAGGTTGCTCTCTGGGGTCTCTGTGCCTTCACATGCCATTGGGTGGGGTAGGCAAGCGGCAGGAGGAGTTGGGCAGCTTGCAATTAGACTCTCCCCATTTAGGCTGGGCTTGGGACACCCATGCTAAGGTGAGAGGAGAAGCAGTCTCACCCACAGATACAAAGCCGCTCCCAGGGCACAGCTGGGAACAGCTGGGGAATGCCGGGAGAGGTACAACTCAGCTAAAGCTGCCTTGCTCCCTCTTTCTGCCCAGCACAGACAGATTTGTCACAGTTGGGCCTCCTCCTGTTTCCATGGAAACACGGGAGTCCACAACAGCTCCGCGCTGGCATTTCGGCTATATTGACGGAAAATTTTACCAGCTGCAGCTGCTGGGGAGGCAGAGAGGACGGGAGTCACCTGGCAATGCTCTTCTCGGAACGGCTCCACCAGCAAAAGGCAGAGAAGCACCCACAGCCTGAAACAGGAGGAAAACAGGCAGAAAAGCCTGAAGAAGGCATGCCAAGGGGAACGGGGTCCCCTAGGAGTGCAGAGGGGAGGTGGGAAGGCACAGGGTGGTCACTGACCCAAGGGCAGCTCACCAGAGCAGGGATGCTGTTTCCCGGGGGGAAATACGGAGGAGGTCTAGGAAAGGGAGGGATGGCAGACTGGGCAAAGGGAAGGCCAGAGGACAGCAGTTAGATGTGGGGAGAGAGAAACTCCAGCTAAACAAAAGCTATGCATCTCCACTGGTAGGAAAGACAGGCACTGACATAGTCCCTCAATACCTGCCACTCACGGGAGGTGTGGAGGACTGCTAAGGTATCTCTGCAGACTATGGCTTGGAGGCTTGCTGATCTGTTCTGGCTCTTGGTTTTGAGCGGAGCTGTGCCTCTAAGTGAAAAACTATGCCCCAGCCCCGTTGTGTGGAGCCTGCTGCTCCTCAGCAAGCCCAGCACCGTTTGCAGGGCAGGAGGATCCAGAGGGCTGTAGGGATCTGCAGCATTTGATTCTTGTCTGGCGATTTCTGTGCAGGGCAGAGATCGTGCAGAGAAGGCCTCTCCTGGTGCCGAGGACGATGAGGACTTGGATAAGACTTTGTCAATCGAGAGATTTGGGGACCTGATAAGCAAATCAGCATCAAGCAATCTGGAGAAGCAAAGACGCAGCTACAGTGAGAGAGATTTTGAATGTATGTAGGTTTGAACCCTTGTACACACTTCCACCCTCGCTGCCCACCCTCCCTCAGCCCCACGTGCTCTGCAACCTTGTGCCAGGACCCTGCAGATCGTGTTAGCCTGCTATTCACTTCCTCCCTTCAGAGTGTTCCCCAAGTGTTACGTACACCCAGTTTAGCACCGGTGCCCATGGCCTTTTCCCAGTCTGTTCCCTATTTTCCCCGTCCCTGCAGGTGTAGATACTGCCCAGCCCACGCGGCAGCATACCTCAGCCCAGGGTGTTCACTCACCTCCTCACCCAGCATCAGGGACCTCTGCAGCCACTTCCCCCACGTTGAAATTTCCAGTTTGAAACTATTTTTCTTCCATATGGCTGCAAAGAAACATCCAAATATGGCCAGAAGCCAGGCTGTCCTCCCCAGTCTGAAAGCAGATGGCTCCAGTCAGACATGCCTGTGTATTTCTAAATAGCAACCACGAAACCATCAGGCTTATCTGCTCAAAGAGAGGACTGCAAAATAAAAATGGGGTGTGAATTTAAAATGCTGTAGCTATCTCACCTGAACTCCTCTGATCAGCATATTTATTCTTCTAACTGCCCTTCCATGATGAAGGCAACCAGTCTGCCCAAACTCACTTTGGCTGTAAAATGAGAGTGTGCCCACAAGAGTGGCCGTAAGCTATTGCCTGGTGTAGGTGGGTTGCGTTAGCTTGTAGTAACAGCAGTGAAAGGCAGGAAGAAGAGGCCCCCGGCCAGCAGCCTGCTTGTGTAGCAGACAAGTAGCAATGGTTGGGAGAGTTTCCCACTCTCTGGCTCTCCACAGTCAGATATTGCTTATTTTCCAGCTTAGCTTTGATGGGATACAACCTCAGGAACATTACGTTCCAAGTACCTCACCAGGCTGTTTTCTGCTTGGCCACTTATTTCCAATGGCTGTTGTAAAAGTTTTCTGGTAAAAGTCTATTACCGTAGTGCACCCCAGCTGCTCCTTTCTGCTTGTGTCATTTCTCTACAGAGGCTCCATTCAAATAACACTTTCCACCTGAGCACACAGTCACTCACGCACATGGCTGCAAGGTGCTACTGGCTTTGCTGTGGGTTGAATACCTGTCCTGTGCTGGTAGGACTTACCTGCTCAGAAGCTCTGCCTGTGTGCACAGGTGTGTGGGTTGGCTTGGAGGACATGGACGATCTGCTTAAGCATGCATGGCAGAAGCTTCTTTGAAAATTTGACTAGAGATTTGTACTGTTTGGGGGTTTTTTCTTCTTAATAAGAGAGTCCTTCTTCCTTTGTCAGAATCAAGCTTGTTTTCCTCTGAGCTCCTGATGTATCCCTGTTATCTAGGACTACATCAACCCTGGTTATCAGAAGTTTTATGCAGTTTGTATTCGGAAAGCTGGAAGATCTGGTTAGGTCATTAGACTTTGAAAGATAACATACCAGCCCATGGAGGTGAATGCTCTCTGGGTTTAGAAATGTTTCCTGCCCTATTGAAAGCCAGGAATTCCTAATATGTAGGCTCTTCCTTCTGGGCTCCATATCCAAATTACTTTTTCATATCTCTTGTATCAAGTTCACTGAGAATCAAACGTCTAGGACACTGGTTTGGCAATAACCTTCCATACAGGCAGGCAGTGCAAGGAGGGGAGCAGGGAAGGAGGGCAGGGGCTGGGCACACAGGAGTTGCAGGAGGACAGGGAGGAAGAAGAGGGAGGCATGAAGCCTTTTGTGTTTGGGAGAGATGTTTTTCCCACCTCCAGGCCACCTCTGTGGAGACGTGATCAGTTGACACAAGGAGTGCCGAGTGCAGGGGTGAAGAGTGGTGCTCCCCTCTTCTGTGCCAGTTCAGCCACTTGCCATCACTGCCCTTCCCTGCAGCCCAAGGCTTTGGTTTCCTTCTGATCTAAAATGTAAATGTTTCTGTCTTGGGCTGATGTAAACAAGCCAGAAGGGAAAGATGGGCTATGTCCTCACCAGCAGCTTTGTGCTGTAGAAGGAGCAACGAGTGTACAGTTGGGGCCTTCCTTGCTTCTTCTTACATGAGAAATTCACGCCTGACCTATCTGTGGCATGTAGAGCAGCGCTACGGGAGTGCAGCAGCGGGGCAGGAGGGCCTTTCTGCCAAAACCTGCGAGTGAAATAGGGCACATCTAGTTAAGTCAAAGAACTAGAGAACACTTTGGAGGAAAAAGTGTTTATAAAGGGCGCAAACTCTTTCCAATTTGCAGATGTCTGACCATTCCCAATCTCCTCTAATCTTGCC